TGAATGAGCGGAAACCCCGTCCTGCTACGTGAATGTGGCCTGACTCCGAGTATGCCTTACCTCGCCATTTACGCCATCTTCCTTCCCTCCCCCCCTCCCCCTCTTCGTGTCATCCCCCGCGCGCCCTCCCCTGGCTGCATCCTCAACCCCTCCCGCCCTAATTTCTGACCTCGGCGACGCCCGTACGTAAGCCCAAGGATTTTCCACGGGCGGGAAAGGCCGCCGGGGCGCCAGTCGAAGCAAAGGGCGCAGCTGATGGAGGGCAGGGTAGGCCGTCCCCGTGCTCGCTTGACGCTCCACCAGATGGATGAGCAGCAAGCCGAGGGCGCGAAACAGGTCCCCGAAGTCGTTCCTGAGCAGGGAGAGGAAGAGGCCCAGACCCAGGCCAGCGAGGGCGCAGGAGGCCGGGCGGTGGATGGCCGAGGCGCTCAATCCCAGCCCCAGGCCCGCCCCCGCGACGCCCGCCGCCAGGGTCACCGCCATGCGCCCCTGCCACCGGGCACAGTACAGGTCCACGGGGTCGGCCGGGCCTGCCTCTGGGCCCTCTTGGCCCTCCCCCTGCCCCTCCATGCCCTCCACAAAGGTCTCCTCCTCCTCCTCCACCAGGTACTGAGCCTGGTACCGGAACCCCTCTGTCCTCTCCCTCCCGTCCCGGCGGCGTCCCACCCCTCCCCACGCTGCCCCCTCCCGCGGCATGGGGAGGGAGGAACCGCCAGCAGTGGACGCGGAAAGGGGGCGCCGGTTCCGTACTTTGCCCGGGGCCCGCCTCTCATTCTCTTCCTCTTCGTCCCCAAGGTAGGGGGGGTATCCCCCTCCTGCGCGTTGAGGTCGGGAAGCCGAGGGCGGTGGGGGCTGATCGTTGGGGCGGCCCGGAGTGTAAGAGGAAGGACCATCGTAATACGACCATGGATTGCCGTTGGGATTGCTGGGGGACGCAGCAGACGGGGGAGGGGATGGCCGGGCGTGGACGGTCGGAGGAGGGCAGGAGAAAGTGAAAAGGACGGTGTAAGCAGCCGCTGTTGCAGCGGTTAGGGCCCGTGGGAAAGGTCGTGGCCGCTTCCGTCGTCCATGTAAGCTGCAGGTGGTGGAGGACACGGTCCGCATTTGCGCATCCGACATGGTGGAAGCGCCACCTCTGGCGGGGTAGGAGGAGATCGACCAGGACACGAGCGACCAGAAGCCGACCCCGGGCTTTTGCGCGGCCTATGACGCAACAAAAAGAATGAGTACGTGAGGCCAAGACTTATTATGTGCAACATGGACACACCTCCCCGATTATATTGTCAGTGGACCGTCGATGGCCCTCATTGCTCTGGTCAAGGAGCCCTTGATCCTCTATGCGTCTACATACTAGGGTTACTCGCCACAAATTCCGCCCCGGTGCTGCAATCGGTACGCGTAGATCCAGGGACAAAAAAACCAGCCGTCCACTCCCGTCCTACACCCAACCCTGCTTCAGCGTGCAACGCCCATGCGGCCGCCAAGGCCCGGGCATCGCAGGACCCAATGGCATGTTACCGCGAGATCGATAGAGGGACCGGAGGCGTCGCCGAGGTCGCCGAGAGCGTGAGAAGCTCGGAACGGTCCCCTCCTTCTCCGTCTTCCTCCCCCATGTGCCGTGGCCTCAGAGCGGCTTGTGCCATGCCGAGGCAAGCGTGCGCTCTGTGCTACGGTCAGCATGACGATAAATCAAGGGGGGAGATGCTCTTGCTCCAGTGGTAGAGAATGTGCGACCTTGGTAGCCTTATACTCCCAACTGCCGGGTTTCTATGCTGAATTCCTCTTTGTAATATTTCGTGCATTCATGCTCACAAAAACTACAGAAGCCGAGCCTTCTGACCAAAAATGGCAATGCCAAGTACAAGTCTGGAACATTCAATGGGCCTGAAACCTGGCGAAGTCGCGACTGGGGTACGTTTTTTCCTTATGCCCCATCTTCAGCTTGCTACATCCCACTTGTTGCGGTCACTTCATTCCCCTTCCTCAACCGTTCTTGTTCCCCAATCCGCCAGACCACGATCATGGCCGTCGAATTTGACGGAGGCGTGGTCCTAGGAGCCGATTCCCGCACATCCACAGGAACTTACGTGGCCAATCGTGTGAGTGACAAGCTAACCGCCTTGCACCACCACATCTACTGCTGCCGGTCCGGTTCTGCCGCCGACACGCAGGCCCTGGCCGACTACGTCCGGTACTTCCTAGCTTCCCATGCCATTGACCTGGGACGTACTCCTGCGGTTTACACCGCGGCGAAGCTCATGTCGACCCTGATATACAGAAACAAGGATAACTTGCTAGGTGAGGGGTGGGGGGAGGGAGGTTTGGAGGATTCGGGGGCATCGACGGCCCATATGTCCCATTTGTGTCGACCAAAATGTTTGCACTCTCACTTTCCGCCGCTATTCACCTTTCTTTTCGCCTGTGGCGGCACGCAGCGGGTGTGATAATCGGGGGATGGGACCCGAAGGACGGGGGCCAGGTCTACACGGTCACACTGGGGGGGACGCTGCAGCGACAGAAATTCTCCATCGGCGGTAGCGAGGGAGGGGGCCAGCGTTGGGGGCGGGAGGGAAGAAAGGGAAGCTGAGGAGAGGATATGCACAGCCTCTGTATGGGGCTCACATTCGGCCCTCATGCTCCCCTCTCCTCCCTCCCTCTTCTTCCCTTTTCCTCCCTCGTCCGCAGGCTCGGGGTCCACCTACATTTACGGCCACGTTGACGAGGCCTTCAAGGAGAACATGACCCGCGAGGAGTGCCAGAACTTTGTCAAGAAAGGTGGGTTCTGTCCCTCCCCCTCCCTCGTCTCCCCTCTCCCGCCGAAACTCTCCATGCCCGTGTCTTCGCCCCTCCAACACCCCTCATGCCCGTGTCTTCGCCCCTCCAACAATCCTCCCTCGCCCTTGTCCTCCCAGCCATCTCACACGCCATGGCGAGGGACGGATC